AATATAATTAAAGTTTTTACAACGTTCCGTACTAACTGTAACATCATTTAGAGTTGATTAGCTTTGGGTTTTTCGAGATGAGGCGAGGGCTAGTGCTAGAGAGAGACACGCACCATAATTTTAGGTATATGAGCAGAAAAATCAAAGAGTGTTCTATGAGCTAACCGACTTTAAGTGGGTTAATTTGTGAATAAATTTTAGGACAGCATTATCAATTTTCTATAACAGTTACATGGCTTAGCCGCAATTTTTTTTTCTACCTATGCTTATATTTTTGAGAGTCTATATTAGCGTTACCCTAGCGTGTAGATGAGGTCTCGGGGCTCAAATCGGAGGCGTTGCTAACACTGGCCCTAGCAAGAGCCGTGCTTTGCAGAATCTACCACCGGATCGGAAACGCGACCCACTGAGAAGATCCGGCGCGAAACTCAATGGGCTGGTCGCAATCACAACGTGGCAATATATTATTAGTTTAGAAGCATTAAAGCCTCAAGTCCCGCAATCAGTTAGTGTTCACCGGAAAACGTGTGTTATAAATTGTTTCGTCTGCGAGGTTTGATCCGACGTGATGGATGATGAGAATTCATAAACAACTGACAAGCCGTCGCGTCTACACATTCGACTTTATAATTTGTTTCCACGATGATAAACTTCGCATCTTTAGACGCGTAGCGTTTTAACGTTATTGTATATTGGGGTTGTATATTGGCGAATAAATGTGGCAAAAGTCTGCTTTTTTCGACTCTAGACGAGCTCACAGCCCATTTGATTGTTGTATAGTAACAAGAGACCATAGACATCATGGCGTGAATGCCTCCGCCTATCTTGAGGTATGAGGAAAAGTTTCACTTATGTAACAAAACGACTATCCTACACATCAAGTGATTAAATCGAGGTAGGAATAGGCAGGGTGGTAGAATTTAGCCCAACAAACTTCCAATACAGGATTTATTAGTTCACCATTAAAAATGTTAATAGTGAATTTCAATTGAATTTTTTTTGACCCGGAATAAATGGCTTTAATTGTTGACCGACGGTTGTAATGTTCAGATTTTATTGCATACAACATCTTAACGTATATTTTCTGTTATTTTATAATAGTTATCATGAATGAATTAGGCAGTTTAGTACCATCACAATACGCTCGTACCATATCTGCGCTCAATACTTCGACTTCTTGTGATGCGGTGTCAATCATGGGCGTAGTTAGGGGACATGAGGGTGAGTCTTGCTATCTATACATATAAAAATGAATTGCTGTTCGTTAGTTTTGCTAAAACTCGAGAACGGCTGGACCGATTTGGCTAATTTTGGTCTTGAATTATTTGTGGAAGTCCAGATAAGGTTTAAAAGGTGAATAAATATAAAAATGCTTGGAATTATATAAAAACAAACAATTTTGTTTTTCCTTTGATTTGTCCCCTGTCGGACGGAATCCTTTTGTTTTTTTTTTAATTTATTTTATACAAAAGTTTAGGTCTTTTATTTATTGATTGAGGCACTACGAAATCTCCCGGGTCTGCTAGTTATCAAATAAAAAATAGATGATTTGATGAAATTAAAACTTATGATGGCTCATTAACTGGATGGCTGCCTACTTTTAGCTACGTGAATGATCTGCATGCTGTATTGACCGCAAGGGTATAAAGACTTAACCTGAAGTGCCATATGCCTCAAAACTCATGTACAGAACGCGACTCCGACAAATCGAACCGCGTCAGTACAACGACAGTTGTGCTCCAGCCGAACACATGTCAGGGAGGTGTATCCCGATGCGTGACGTACGCGTGACGTCACGGGTGTCCGGTTACCTGCGCGGCCTTCCCAACTGCTTGCTTTCATTAAGGTCGCGATAATTTTATCGCATGACGCAGCCACGCGCGGCCATATCCACGTACTAAAATAACCGGGCCACGTATGTTTAGTGCGATAGCGGTTAGCTACCGGTGGCTGGCCTTTTGTGTATAATGCTAGATAGACTGGCGGGCAGACCGATGGAAGATTCAAGTGGAGTATTCGTCGTATCTCTAATATGTCGGCGTTCGATTGCGCTGAAAGATTAACTGTTAATTCGTTTTCACTTCGATCATGATTGTCATTTTGTTTTTGTTTTTATGCAGAAGAATNATGTTTAGTGCGATAGCGGTTAGCTACCGGTGGCTGGCCTTTTGTGTATAATGCTAGATAGACTGGCGGGCAGACCGATGGAAGATTCAAGTGGAGTATTCGTCGTATCTCTAATATGTCGGCGTTCGATTGCGCTGAAAGATTAACTGTTAATTCGTTTTCACTTCGATCATGATTGTCATTTTGTTTTTGTTTTTATGCAGAAGAATGAGTACGTGTGATCGTGTCGAAAAATAATAGGTTGTCGGACAATGGAAACGATATGAAAAGTTTTGATTCTGTTAGAGATAAGGGCGAGCGATCCTAATTTAGCTTGCAAGATTAGAACCAAACAAACAAACATTTCCAATTATTTAAATGCTTATAAACAATTTTGACTTCCACGGTGAAAGAATAACATCGTGTAGTAAAAATCAAACCCGCACATTTATAATTTGCGTAATTACTGGTTCCAAGACCTCTTGTGAGTCCGCACGGGTAGGTACCACGACCCCGCCCATTTCTGCAGTGAAGCAGTAATGCTTTTCGGTTTGAAGGGCGGAGCGGCCGTTGTAACTATACTGAGACCTTAGAACTCATATCTCAAGGTGGGTGGCGGAATTTTCGACATAGGTGTCTATGAGCTCCGGTAACCACTTAACACTAGGTGGGCCATGAGCTCCTCAACCCATCTAATCAATAAAAAATACATTTTAAATAAAGCCCTGTTAAAAACGCGCGGAGTCGTCACCATTCCGTCTATTCTGTAATGGAGATGAAGCAATCCCGTGTTTGAATAGTGAGACGTCTGATAGACCAAAGCAATTGAGAATTCAGACTGCTGTTTCAAAGCGGTGTCGTCTAAATGGGGTTTCGCTCATTGGTGATTATGACATTGTTTTTCACGTACTTACGGATCAATCTGATCCAATAAACTTTTCATTAGACGCCTTCAGCTCTAACACTAGGAGCAGGCTGAGGGACCCCGGTAACCGTACTCGTCGAATTCGACAAAGAGCTCGCCGTGCGACCTAACCCATGAATCAGCTCGCTGAGTTTCTCGCCGGATCTTCTCAGCGGGTCGCGATTCCGATCCGGTAGTAGATACATTCGCGAAGCAGTTGCTCTTGAGTTGTTAGGTCTCCTTCGGAGGCGCTCGGGTAGCTGTTAGCAAATCCCACCCCTCCTGGCTGAGCCTTTGCTCGCCCACCTGTCCTGGTGAAACTGGAAAGACCTACGGGCAACAAGTAATCCTTCAATCATAACAAAAAAAAATACATGTGTGCAATTCACACGTGGTAGAAGTGAAACCTTCCAAAATTAAAATACAATTATCCTAAACGTCTTAAGTATATGTAAAATTTTGTCATTAGAAAATAATTGTAAGGTAGCGCCCTCTGTGAATTGATATTTTAATTTCACGTATAATCCTAAATTAAAATTCACTACAAGAGCTTTCATACACACGTTAGTATTAAAAAATCTCACAGATGGCGCTGTATTAAATAGTATTTATATTTCTGTCTCATTCTTTGCTGGCTTCATCCTACACATTTTTGTATTTGTGTCTCTTACCTGTCGTTTTTTCCGTTGCATCCGGTTTGAAATCACAACGATTCTAAAGAAGTTTTCACTTCAAAAAAAAAACATGGTTTAGGATCGGATGGAATGTGAGCTTGTCTGACATTTTTTAAGCGAAAACATTTTAGCAGCGCTGTGACTTGAAACTCGATGAAACGAAAAAGTGACACCACAAAGAAGCAAACGACTTAGAAAGCGAGAGAATGAGATAGAGTTCTTCTATAAGTTTCACTTTTATCGCGTGTGCAGATCACAAGTTTTTTTGCGTTGCCTCAGTTAAATCATATTTATAACGGGTATATATTTTAGCGAAATTTCATGAGCGATTTAAAAAAAAAAACTATCCATAAAAAATTCCAGTATCTAAATCTAAGAGGCGAACTGGGTATTAAATCTGAAGAACCGTGACAGATATCGTGAAAACTCTTAAAACGAAATGATTTATGGTCAATAAAATGTTAGCTGTTTACGCGTGAACTTGTTGGGTGTGAATCTTTTTGTCCGTTCCTTACACGTCATCAGATTACGTACACTCTTGGAGGTTAGGTTTTATTTTATTAGCGTGAATGATCTGTCTAATCGATATAGTTTAAGAGTACTTTGGGTACATAGGTCAGGAATACATTTAGCTTTAACATTGTCTCAGCAATCGGAGCCCACTTCATCCAATATGCTCATCTATAGTGCGTTATCAGACACTTTTGCTGCGTACCATTCGGCTTTAGAATGAGCACATCTCCACGGTATCCTGTGTTCTATAACAGGTCCTACTTGCAACAAGGAATGAAATGGGCCCTATGCGATAGCCTCTCATTTGTGCCCCGGGTTTATTAATTATTTTTCATTATTATTAATGTTCTTAGATTCACACGCTATCCGGTGAGCCGTATGCTCATGCATGCTTAGTGACTGAATTATCAGCAAAAGACACTGAACGAAGTTCCTTTGCGCCTTTTATCTATACTTGCGAGTTCGTCTATAAGGCGGAAATTCTTGTTACCGTCACAAATATACTCTGTTAGTTTCATACTAATTACAGCAATTACGTTATTTATGAAAAAGAAGACCATTTACTGGTTTTAAAACTGACTGGAATAACCAGATCCGCATTACCCTCGACACCATGCTCTGATAGTTCACGATGCTCTATACTCGGCGGCAGATAGAGGCAGATGGCGTGGAATAATCCGGAATAAGCTCTTGTTACGAGGAGGTGGTTACGAACCTCAGTATTGAGGAAACCCAACCAAGAAGAAGAAAACAAAAACATTTTAATATTCCGGACTTAAGAATTTCAAATCATATTATTTCAGAGTGAATCCTGCGACTCCGGAGACTGGGGCTGGACAGGATTGGAGGAGGCCGGCGGTGGGGGGCCTAAGGTACCAGCTCTGATCACGGCCTGCATCGCACACCTGCGACGGCACGGTCTCAACGCGACTGGTCTCTTCAGGGTGTCATCCTCGAAGCAGAGAGTTAGACAGGTATTTGCTTAGTTTTCTTTTCTACCGGTAGTGAGAGAGAACATTGAAAAAGTACGTGTAGTATTTGCATAATTCTGGACTATAGACATCAAACGTAAATGCCCAACCAAAAAACCATCTAGAGGCATTACTGAAGCACTTTATAATGGCTGTTAAGCTTCCAAACGGAAGCTATGACTCCTTAATTGTATCAACAGGCAGATATTGTCAAGAAACCATATATTTTAGTTTATTGCGATAAGTCCTCTGTTGTCCGCATGTAATGAAGTATATACCTCACTCATCGCAGTTGCAAGGTGGTTAATTGTTCAACCTAATCGCTGTCAGCCTAAGGAGATATTCCAATTACGCGCGGACCGTTAGGTGATCTCACGGACTCGACCTGAGATAATTGCTGACACTGACTCTAGTAAGAGCAGTTTCTCGCTGAATCTACCACCGGATAGCGGAATAGCGACCCACTCAGAAGATCCGGCAAGAAACACATCGAGTTTTGTCTTTGGGGGTGGATGTTGTCATTCAAGCTGTGATATAAATAATGTCACTACTAATTGAATACCAAATGAACCGTGAGGAATGTATATCCCACCACGCATAACGGGCCAAAGTCGCATTAAAAATCCTTGTCAAGGTCATTATTTATTTACGCTGGCAAATGAGAACGTCACTACGAATAAAAACCATAACATTCCTGACAGGCTTCCAACTGTGAGCACCCATGATCATTTCTAAATAGACAAGAGCAATAACCACTTCGTTTAATATTAGAACAATGAGCAGTGGCAATAATTTCAATTGCTATAAAACATGAACAAGAGCTCCGAGCCAAATTGCTAATTAAGTCATTAATATTTATTAACCATCGATTGGCACGGGAAGAAGGCCACTGATATCGTGACGGCGGCTGGGATTGGGTCTTCTGCCCTTTGAACAATAACAGCAGACCAAGCATCTTCATAACGGACCTACTACAGTAACAGATGATGTCGAGAACATTCCATAAAAACGAGCACAAATGGTGGCACAATTTCTTAAAGAATACCTATGGGGAATACCAGTACCAGTAAAGAATAGCTATGGGGAATACCAGTACCCTCCAGTATTCGAAATTTGACCATAATCACTGATATTACCCGTTTTTTTTTATATAAACCCTTTAACAGCCTGACAAAGAGATAGAACCGAACATATTTGTCTTTGATCTCGCAGCGATCTGAATCGATGCTAGGGTGCATTCACCTGCAGCTTGCGGGTGTCATTAAAATGCTCAGCAATCGAAACTGAAATAATGAAAACGGGCTATATTTTACCGTTTTTTTACCTTTTAATTCACGAAAACCCAAAAAAAACAACCGTAAAACAAATATTTCCGTATAAATAACATTATCAGTCACTTCTACTCTGAAGTTGGAACTTATGAACGCTGAGTGTATTTACCAGATATTTAACCATAATAACATTAGTTACGACTAGTTTAGTAGTTAGACTATAACTTTTTTAAATAGTTTTATCATAGTTCTAGCTGGTACAGTCCCAAAATCAAACGTGACCTACATACAGCACGTTGTTTTCTACAAATCCGTGCATTACCGACCGCAACCAAAATACAAATGGCACTTTGTATTGATAAGCACCGCTTTACAATGTAAAATGGCTTCTAAAACAATTTGTTTTGTTAGTTGAACGTCACCGAACGAAAATAACGTGAAATCGAAGCCAAAAATTTATAATTTATTAGTGAATTCTGAAATTGCCACGTTAACACGAGCCTTGGTTGTGTTAAATTTTCTTACAACTAAATTACTTCTCTGTATATTTGTTGATTCGTTTTGGGTTCCGATTTAGAATTTACGCTCACGAGAAATACTTTTCTCTAGAGAAGTAACAGTTCTAAGAGCACTTTGAAAGGACTTCTGAACGGGCTCGTTCTTAAATCTGATATTTCATCCTGATTAATGTGTTTGTTTATATATTTTTATATATTCATATTTTTAATCAAATATATGTTAAACTAGAGCGTGCTCTTCACCTAATGTAAAACAATTCCTAAATTACCGACGTCTTTTCTATTTTCAGTTACGCGAAGACTGGGAGAGGTGTCAAGAGGCTGCACTGGATTCGGTGGTGAGTCCACACGACGTGGCCGCATTACTCAAGGAATTCCTGAGGGACTTGCCAGATCCACTGCTCTGCAGGGACCTTTACTCTGCGTTCTTACACACGCAAAGTAAGTTCTCCCTTTGGATATTTGTAATAATATTAGGTCGTAAAGCAAGCCCAAGTATTTGGTGCTATCATAAAATGCCTTAAGATGTTCTGGCCCAGAATAGTGCCACGCCCAAAGGTATTTCTAGCCCATGTAGCGTCCGGGTGTAATTATTATCATAGCGCCCTCCAGTAATCGCGCGGTCAAAATGGAATAGGTACAATATACCTAACTGGTTCATTGAAATGGCTGAGGTTGGCGACCCTTAACACGCCCGAATGCAATGCACCCTGCATCATAGGTAAATCCGTCTATGTACACTCCATCTCATCATGTGGGTGTCGTAAAAGACAAATAAGTGACAAAGTGACATACCGATGGTATGAATACTGGTAAGAGCAGAATTGTTTTCTCAGTATAATAGCGAGTAGGGAGGGCGTATTGAAATTCCACCAATCCTACACGCACCGCCATTCTATTTCTGCCGCAAAGCGCTTATGCCCCAAACGCACAGCCTCTTTAAAGATACATCCGTTAGACAATACGATTTACACTTCAACCTCAGATCGTTGTAATGTCTGTTGAGTCCAGTATCAACGTCGCATCAGGTAGACTCTGATTTAGTTCACTAGTTTATGAAATAAAGTAGAAAATTCTGAAAAGTCCATTTCGTTTGAAGAGTGCCAAATTAGTGATGCTCAAACGCAATTGAGATCATGATCTCATGACGAGAGGGGGCACATTTTCGACGTCATGTTTACTAGATTCTTGTACCCGTCGAACACCAGACAATCATTACTCTGAGTTACCCTGAGAACCAAGATCGATTTCAAAGCTTTTACTCTTTACTTTCAGAGATTCATAACCGTCATTTCCAGTGGGAGGCGATCCGGCTGATCGTGCAGTTGCTGCCGGCAGCCCATCGCGACACCCTCAACGTCTTGCTGTCATTCCTGTCGCAACTCGCGGAGCATTCTGGCGACGAAATTAAACCCGGCCACAAGATGGACCCCGGCAATTTAGCCACAATATTCGCACCCAATATACTGCATAGGAATAAACCGAATGAACCTGCAAGGTAATTAAAGCACGCCCAGCTTTAATACCAACACATTCTGCTGTAGGATCCGTGCTGCATATACGTGCTGGTCACTTCAGAGTTCGTAGGCAGGCTACATGCCATATACTGGTCTGCTACCGAGCACTTTTATACTTGTCCACTCTACAGATTGAATAGTCATTGTAAATATTAGGAAAACATATCTAAAGGGTTAAAGGTAAAAATTCCATCAAAAAAATTTTAGGGTTGTCAGTCATTAGGGCACGATATAAAGATAAACATTATGTAAATTACTCTCGCAACTTTAACCATATTTTATTTTAATTTACTAACTAGAGTAGCAGATAGCCGTAGCAGCAAAACCTAAAAAACCCTTGTCTAAATCATCTCTTTTTTTCCCTACCTATGCTGATAGCCTTGAGAGGCTAATTCAGCTTCGCTTTCACGCGTAGGCGAGCTCACGGATCTCAAACCGGAGTGTTGCTAACACTGGCCCTAGCAAGAGCAGTGCTTCACAAAATCTACTACTGGATCGGAATCGCGACCCACTGAGAAGAATCTACAACGTAAATGCGCCACCCACCTTGAGATATAAGTTCTAAGGTCTCAAGTATAGTTACAACGGCTGCCCCGCCCTTCAAACCGAAACGCATTACTGCTTCACGGCAGAAATAGGCAGGGCGGTGGTACCTACCCGCGCGGACTCACAAGAGGTCCTAGCAACAGCAAGTGAATCTATATGCAAATATTTTCCGATTTCAGCGTGGAGCAATTATCAGAGAGAACGGATGTGATCAACGTGGTGCGGCTGCTGGTGGAGCGACAGAGCGAGCTGTGGACGCTGCCCGCGGAACTGCTGCACGAGGCGTACATCCACCTTGCTCACACCGAGCCCGCTCACCTGGACTCGCTGCTGCTCAGGAGAACAGAGTTAGTACCCTCGCCTATCCCGGAACCGCCGCGTGACCGTGCGGGAGACGCTGGCTCGAAGCTGCGTAATTCAATAGATTGATTATACTAAAAATCACCACCGAAACGAAACGAATATTTTTTGTGTGTATATTTATTGTTACGCCAGTAAGAGTAACGCCATTTTTCGCCGAATGGTTGAACGAATATCGAAGGATCTAGTAGCATGTAGAGCGCTCGAGAAGTACAACGCCATCTATTGTCAGATAGCGGAATCACAATACTCGACTTGTGTGGAATATTCTCGATAATTCTAGGGATGTGGTATCGGCTATAAAATCGTTGCAAAGATGGCATGCAGTTAGTCAGTAACTGGAACTACTCGAAGCGAAACATCGAACGGATCATCTGAAGCGAAGTGAAGAAGCTAATTGAGAATTTTAAAGTGTTTTTTGAGTGTTTAATTGTTCTAAGTGCTAATTAATACCAATAAAATTGAGATTAAAATGGTTCCGGAAGCTTAAATTTTTATATACGATGCGTTATTATACATAGTTCATCACAAAATATACACAAAAACTGAAAAAACTAGCTTGGCCCGATTCACCTTGGCTTTGGGGTGAATCAGGATACGTATGGAGATAATAGTTTTTCGATAGAGCTGGCACTATTTAGTTATTAGGTACCTAACTTTAGGTAATTGATTTTTTAATATCCTTATTGAGTTACAAAACTTTAATGACTAAATTAAAATATTTAATTTTCTTAAACACTAAATAAAAGTCATTTTCAGTTCAACAATGTTCAATCTAACAACTCAACAAAAGTATTGTGACATCCCAGATTTGTCCCTATTCTAACTCAAGCCTCTATTCCCCACAATTTACTGTACCTAATTCTTTGACCAAAATCACTAGTTAGTTGAATCCTTAGAATGCCTTGTTATTGACACGGGTGTCGTTCTAGCAGGAATAGCATGGGTGTGCGCAGGTGCTCGGAGGTGGGGGGCGAGGGGGCGGCCGAGGGGGCCGGCGAGGGGGGCGAGGGAGGGGAGTCGCGGCGCGTGTGGTCCCGGGAGCACTGTCTGCACAGCGCCGCCGCCACCGGTGGACCACTCGACGCCGTGCGGGACAGGTAGATCCACCACATTTTCATAAATTTCAAAGTAATGACGTATGAGTCTAATAGATTACCAAACTCAATACCAGGTCAATACTTCCAATGTCCCTGTACCTCGACCGCGGTACTACACGTCTTCACCGTTTCTCTAACAAGCTATTGTGTGGACATTTGTCCACGACGCTACACACGCACGTGACCATTACAATAGTATAGTGTTCGAAGGGCTCGACGAGTAAATTAACCTACAGACACAGCCTACTGAGTTCTCACCGGATCGTCTCAATGGGTCGCGTTTGTGATCGGGTGGTAGATTCTGCGAAGCACTACTCTTGCTAGGGGGCCAGTGTTAGCAACGTCGTCAGGTTTGAGCCCCGTGAGCTCACCTAATAGTCAAGGTTACGCTGAAATAGCCTCTCAAGGCTCTCAGCTTAGGTAGGAAAAAAAAAGCCAAGAATTTAATGGAAGTAATAAGCGCGAGACAAAACCGTCAAAGTGATTATAATTGTATCCACGGCTCGTAAAAATTGAAGACAATACTAAACCTAAGGAAATAGCTTATTGACGTTGCCACAACGATCCGGTGGTCCGTTCCACCAGCGACTCTCGCAATCCGGATATCCGTAGAACTAAATGACCAATGCAGCTGCCTATTACCGGCAGGCGCAGTGAGAAGGTCCACCGTCGACGGACGAGGGAGGCAGCCTCAGACGCCTCCTCCGGCTCCGTGTCCTCGGCCATGACCATCGTCACCAGGTACGTGACTCCTGGACAGGGCCTCTTTTAGTTTATACCGAACAGTTATGAAAAGGAAGTTTCCGGTCACCGTCCTCGTCGAACCCGTCGCTTGCGACGAAGGGCTCGACGAACGAATTAACCCATAGACACAGCCCACAGAGTTTCTCGTCTGATCTTCTCAGTGGGTCGCGTTTCCGATCCGGTGGTAGATTCTGCGAAGCACTGCTCTTGCTAGGGCCAGTGTTAGCATCACTCCGGTTTGAACCCCGTGAGCTCACCTACTAGTTAAGGTTACGCTGAAATAGCCTCTCAAGGCTATCAGCTTAGGTAGAAAAAAAAAAGAGGAAGTCTGAAAGTGGTACCTGTGACAGAGAAGTTGAGAAGTGCGCGTTTGGGATGGTATGGCCATGTGATGAGACGAAATGACAATGAGGTTGTTAAGAGAGTTTTAAATATGAATGTAGAAGGCTTTAGAGGAAAAGGTAAACTTGAGAAAAAGTGGATGGATTGCGTGAAAGACGATATGTGTAAGAGGGGAGTGAGCGAAGAAATGGTAGGTATATGATAGAGGAGTATGGAAGGAAAAAACATGTTGCGCCGACTCCACGTGACTGGGAGAAGGCAGGAGAATGATGATTGTCGAACAGTTATAGTGAAACCCAAATCATAGTTTGAATGTGTAAAAAGTATAAATAGTAATATACGGCTGCCCCACCTTTCAAACTGAAATACATTACTACTTAACGGCAGAAATAAGAGTGTGGTTGTAGTACCTACTCGTGCGGGCTCACAAGAAGCTCTAACACCAATGAACGCCGAATGCTAGTTATGGCGTAGCTCCTGCTGGTCCTATGTGTCTAAGTCACGAAAACGTCGTCGAAGTCGTGTCGTTTAGAAGTCGTCGTGGCCTAAAGGATAAGACTTCCGGTGCATTCGTATCTAGCGATGCAACTGTGTTCGAATCCCGCAGGCGGGTACCAATTTTTCTAATGAAATACGTACTTAACAAATGTTCAGGATTGACTTCGACGGTGAAGGAATAACATCGTGTAATAAAAATCAAACCCGCAAAATTATAATTACTGGTGATAGGACCTCTTGTGAGTCCGCGCGGGTAGGTACCACCACCCACTTACGCCTATTTCTATCGTGAAGCAGTAACGCGTTTCGGTTTAAAGGGTGGGTGGGGGGTTTACGTTGTAGATGTCTATGGGCTCCAGTAACCACTTAAAATCAAGTGGGCTGTGAGTTCGTCCACCGATCTAGGCAATAAAAAAAATAAAAAAACTATTTCTAAAAAAATGTGTTCAATTAAGGATGTTGGTTGTCCAGGGTCCGCAGCAGCGAGGAGTGCAGCAGCGGCGTGACGTCATGCACCGCGCCGCGACTGGACTCCGCGCCGGACTCCAACGACTCCGCCAGCGACTACAACGAGGTACACTGCCCATCACGCACTCCTTGAACAATAAATACAATGTTGGAGCCAAACCTTTCCTTTTGCCATATATCTCGATTCGAACTCATTGCGGGAGACTTAAGTTCGGGAGTGTTACCGAGGGTCCTGATGGCGTTGTTGCAGACGGCCTGCGCGTCAGACGACGAGTGCGTCATCACGGCGTCGCTGCACATCCCCGCGGCCTTCGGACCCCCGCGCGTCGCCCCCCCGCGCCGCCGCTCCACCTCCGGCTCCGAGTCCTCACACAAGCGAGACTCGGCCGTGGGCTCGTGTTCCTCGGACGCGTCCTCCCCCGCCGCGTCCCCGCCGCCCCCGACCGCCCCCCTGCGCGTCACGCTCACGTCGGCCGGGGAGCTGCGCCGGCCCACCGACATCGACAAGCTCGTCGCATTCGGCAGGTAGGTCCAGCGTTACTTCCTTCATTACTAACTACAGGAGGAGGAGCAGAGCCGGGAGATTTTAGCGTCGCTCTTCTAGATCAACAATGGCACTAGCATGGCCGGGCCGCTAGTACTAGCAAAGAGTCTTTAAGCAATTAAACCCTTAAGGTAGAATTGACGATTAATTAATCAAATATTTAAAATTTTACAAACCTTAGAACCTGAACTGAGATACAGATGATTCGATCGTTTGACCCGACAAAACTTAGAGGGATCAGTGCTTAAAAAGCAATAATGGAAGAGCAAGGAGTTGCAGCAATTATACTAGTGCTAGCATGAGCACCTCCAACGTCGCGCACAATGTGTGATTTTTTTTAAGAGATTTTATGACTTGGTAACTAACCCCCGTATCTTTAGTCGTTTACACGAGCTTAACTCGGCTCGACTCAACCTCCAACGCGCGTTTTGGTATGATTAGTCGTAAAAATAAACTCCACTCAAACGTCCTTGGAAAAATTTCCTAACCGGAGTGAAGTAAGCGAACTGTCAAGTCAAGGTACGTCGCAACGTACCTTGAACGTTCCTCAAGGCTGGTTTTCTATCAATTTCCAAATAGTATGTGGACCGCAAATGGAAATATATGGTATTGTTGTGCAATGGCCTGGATCTGGGCATGATTCGCGCATATTTTGATAATTTTTATTAATAAAGTAAATAATTTGAGATTAGACTCTTGTTTAGACTCGTGGTTAGACATTTGAAACTCTTTATTTCATTTACCTACATAAGAGTCAAATTTTGCTTCCTACCTAATAAATAAAGTCAATGCGATTATAAGTTTTTATTATATAATAATAAACTGGTGGTTGTGGAAAAGCACTTCACAACACGATGCAATCAAAATCACACAAAAACGGCGAATAAAAATACAAAGCCGGGTCCGAAATCTAAAATAATAATGGGTTAGAATATATTTAATACAATTTCAAAACAAGTTAATGCTTCTAGTGTCAAACAGACAGCGACAGCTTGACTTTGACATTAAACAATGACCATAGACTACAGAACTCTATGGGTTTGATGCTAGCTTGATCAAATTTTCCCCAAACTGATGTTGTCGTGGTGACGCAATGACACGACTCTACCGAGCACTCGAGGACAGTTGAGGAATATTGTAATGGTCGATTAAAAATACCAAACTCGAGTAAGTTTGGGAGGAATGCTCGAGCATCATCGGATGAGTTAAGAGTGGAGGACTATTTTACAAAACGTCTAAAGATACGGGCATAAGACCTTTAAGTCATGTCTTATTTTAATTTATAATGATAATATGGAATGAAATGAAATGAAGATGATTAATTTGAGACATTAATTAACTAAGATGAAATTAAATGTAATGAGATGAGATGATATGGGATGAAATCTAATCTCAGTAAAATGGTGGTCATTTACTGAGATTTTTCCAGTGGACTTTTTAGAGGATCCCGAGAAGTTACGTCCAGCGGCTTTGTTTCATTTTCTCACATTTGTGCACTTTCACGGATATTAAACAGTTAATAAACCACCGTTATTACACATTTAAAGCCGAAGAAACACTAAATAGACACTAATAGACAAAATAAAACCAATCACACAACCTCACTCCTCGCGTTCCCGCCAAAAAGTCCCACAATATGTGCGATACAGTTCTTGTAACGGTATAGCATCCTTTCAGAGAGCGGAACACGTCGGACGCGCGCGCAGTGGTGCTTCGCCAACACGACGACGGCACGCTGCGGCCCCGGACCCCCGCGCGGTCAGACCCCCGCGCCCCGGAACCCCGCGCCCGGGACCACCGCACCCCGGACCCCGCGCGGACCCAGGACACCTTGACTCGGAACCAGGAAGTTTCCGCGCGGAAACACGAATCGTTGACCGTCAAAAGAGAAGAGAGGAGAGAAGGAGTGATGTTGTACAAAAGGGGAGAACTAATATCCAGTGCGCCCGCACCGCCCACTTGACATATTATTTTAATACGTGTTTTTTTTATACATAAACATATATTTATCATATTATCTTTCATTATAAATAATATTTTTAGAAAATACTCAATTCATTTTCACCATATATCAACTCCAATGTAGGAAACAATTCTCAGACTAATTGAAATTATCAAAACAAAATTTAACAACCGTGGTCGGATAATGTTATGTCTTCGCCTCGTCTTTGAGTACCAATAGTAATTTTACTAATTCGAAGACGTCATGAGTACAGAAACTGTAAAGCATCTGAAACCACCTAGTAAAAGAAACAGACACTCGAAATAACATTAAATTTCTGGTGGGAGAGTGTTGTGAACTCGGAGGCAACTATCCTATTTCTGCCACGCAACAGTAATAAGTCGTCGTGGCCTAACGGATAAGACGTCCAGTGCATTCGTGTTGAGCGATGCACCGGTGTTCGAATCTCGCAGGCGGGTACCAATTTTTCTAATGAACTTGACAAATGTTCACGATTTACTTCCATGGTGAAGAAATAACATCGTGTAATAAAAAATGAAACCCGCAAAATTATAATTTGCGTAATTACTGGTGGTAGGACCTCTTGAGTCCGCGCGGGTAGGTACCACCGCTCCGCCTATTTCTGCCGTGAAGCAGTAATGCGTTTCGGTTTGAAGGGTGGGGCAGCCGTTGTAACTATACTTGAGACCTTAGAACTTATATCTCAAGGTGGGTGGCGCATTTACGTTGTAGATGCCTATGGGCTCCAGTAACCACTTTAAACCAGGTGAGCTGTGCGAGTTCGTACACCCAACTTAAAAAAAAAAAGAGCCGACTGCGAGTGCAACAACAAAATAGATCTAACCCAACAGATCTTACTTTAAATTCTGGCCCTAACCAGTTTCGGTCTTAACCAAGTCAGCCCATGATTCTATTCGCATTTCGCGTGTTGATGGTTTAGTTGGCACTTAAATAGTAATTTCTCCCTCAACAGATCTAAGTCTAGAGTAACTTTCAAAATCAGGTTGCACCAGCAAACAGACAGATAAAAAAAAAACACAGGTAGACTTTTCAACTTCATTTATTTGTGTTCTTGATAGGGAAAGATAAAGATCGTGTCTTTTTGGTAGTTGTACATTTTGAAGCGTATATACAGTGTGACAACTCGGACTAGAAGTTAGGCACTATCTCCTGTGTAGCTTGTCGCGCATTATGATAGCGCCAAGCTTGGAAACTCCGTCTTGGTACTCAGATTTCCCTAAAGGCGGTACGGCTGATGTGGTTTCTGGAAAGATACGTAAACAGATAAAACGCTAGTGCTCGTGCCGTGCTGTGTGATACGGAGGGAAAAAGCAATCATATTTATTGGCTTGAAGGATCATTGTCGAACGGCAATTGTTCTATTTTCTACCTCTAAGTCTTTTTATTATTACTAATTCCATTTCCGAATACACGAATCCCGGTCCTGCCTATTTCTGTTGAGAAGGAATTATGTGTTTAAGAGAAGATTGTGGTTAGTTGTTCTAAATGCTTGGGGACAACAGCTTAATGTCTCAAATGGAATGACGACAGCCTTGTTCTGGTCTCTATGGTCCTCAATAAACGCTAACCGCCAGACGTGGACCCTTTTGCCTATTGACGTCGAAAAAAGAAACGTTTAATTCCAGAGAGTCTAAAAATGGTGCTCTCTTCAAATCATACTAGAATTGTATACATTCACTTTGCTTTTCTCCTACACCAATAAGAACATGACTAATACATTTTTAATGTCTACTAGCTGACCCGGCAGACTTCGTAGTGCCTCAATCGATAAATAAAAGACCTAAGCTTTTATATAGAATAAACTTGAAACAAACAAAAGGAATCCGTCCGACGGGGGACACGTCAAAGGGAAAACAAAATTGTTATTTTTATTTAATTCCGAGAATTTACATATTTTTATACCTTTTAAACCTTCTCTGGACTTCCACAAATAATTCAAGACCAAAATTAGCCAAATCGGTCAAGCCGTTTTCATGTTATGTCGTGACAACGGAAAACGGGTTTCATTTTTATATATATAGATAAATACTGTTATTGAACTTCAACAAGAGTTGCAGTTAGCTTTCTGCATTTGACAAAGATTGTGGTAAGACAGTTGGATGTAAGCTGCTACTTCCACCCGGTAACTGTACATTATGATCTATTTTAAATGTTGGTATTATTCTTTTTCTTTTTTTTTATTGCTTAGATGGGTGGACGAGCTCACAGCGCACCTAGTGTTAAGTGGTTACTGGAGCCCGTAGACATCTACGACGTAAATGCACCACTCACCTTGAGATATCAGTATAGTTACAACGGCTACCCCGCCCTTCAAACCGAAAGGCATTACTGCTTCACGGCAGAAATAGGCAGGGTGGTGGTACCTACCCGCGCTGACTCACAAGAGGTCCTACCACCAGTACAATTTGACAATTAAATTAATTCCTCTTAATAATAATAAAAAACACAGGTATTAATCATACCGCATTTAGCCCTCGGATCGCTACCAGCCCCAGCGCTGCCTTGTTTGGACATGGTTCTCGGAGTGGTCATGCGCGGCTTGGGTCCGACGCGGCAAGGGTCCCCAGGGAGCCGCATGGGCTGCGCGCAGGGGCCCGACCCGCTGTCATCGGCTGCTCGCTGCAGACCCTCGAATTTAGATCCGGGACCTGTTAATTGATGAAAATTCCAAATCGTATATAATAGATAGTAATAGATTATTTTTTTTTGATAAATTGTGTTTTTTAGAAATTATATTTAAATAAATATTAAATAAACAATAAATAAATATTTACTAACAATCACGCCACGTTAACTGGTCTCGTGATAAGTTCGTAAAGATATTGTGTTACAGGTACCAGATAACGGATATTAATGTAAGATTTTTATTATACACATACATATATTTAACATACATCCATAACCCTGGAAAAGACATTTATATCTATTATACAAATATCTCCCCTTGGCGGGATTCGAACCCGCGACCCCCTTGTGTAGTGACCATGTCACTTACCACTACACCAGACGGCAGTTTAAACGAATTACATAATACATTAACGAATTACATATTGATAAAATGATGAAATATGAATAATATTTTTCGATCTTACCGACAGAATAAAATAAAAAAAAACAAAATTATCGATAAAGTTGATTATTGAAAACCTGAATAAAACAACATTTTCTGAAAATAAATGTAGCTAGATCGATTTATCGCCCCCGAAATCCCCTGTATACTAAATTGTATGAAAATCGTTGGAGCCGTTTCCGAGATTCAGATTATATATATTTACATATACAAGAATTGCTCGTTTAAAGATATAAGAAAGATAAGATAAGATAAAAACTTAATGTTTCCAAAATGGAAATAACGATAGAAAAATTATGTTATTGCAGTATTTTTTTTTTAATTTTCAGTCAAGTACCTCTTTCACAGTAATCTACGAAGTAAGTGGTCTTGTTGCGATCTCTGTCGATCCTTTGCTTGAGCTCCGGAGACGCTTCGTTCTGGAGGATGCTGTACAGCATTGGGTATTTCGATTGAAGCTGCAAACCGATATACAAATCTGTCCTTATCTTTGTTTCATTCTAATATCTAATTAAATTCATAATTCATTGAAAAGTTACATTTAGGGTTTAGTTTTTCAGAGATCGCATTTTTTTCATTATGTTTTGGGGGTATTTATTAGTGGAAGCTTAAGTTCAAGTTTGTGAGGTCGCCATCCTTATGGGGGGATAAGGGCCGGGGGCCGCCATCTTGGAAAAAGCATTGCCAAGGGTTTTCGCGCTATATCTCGTAAACTAGCAACCCTACAGAAAACTTAAAAGACATTATTTGTAGCAAATTAAGTTGTCTACAACTATTTCTAAATCTAATAAATGATCGCTACGACGGTCTTGTAACTGCTAATCAGTCTTGAAGTTTAAAAATCGCACTAAATACACTGTAGGTACTATTGGTTCGAATTCCGGTCGAAGTCACTAAGTATATTGAAGATATTTGATAATCGATGTCCGAGATTAGTATCCACGGTTCGCTGCTATAACGCAGATTTTGAAAATATTGAGTGCGGAATGTTAAAAAAAATAATTATTATAAAATGAAGCTCTAAACGGATTCTGTATACTCATTTATAGGTTTTAATTTAAAACACTACTAAGTTTTTTTTCAGATTTGATATTAAAGAACGTTGCTGAATTGGAATTTAGATTAAAAAATAGTCCTTAATAATTGTAAATAGACAAGCTTTAACAAAAACCGACTTCAAATAGAAAAAAAAGATATTCCAAAACAAATTAATATACACTAAAAACAATAATCATCGAAATCAGTTGGCGTGATATTGAGTTATTGAGTTATTCATCTATTTGTCGCGCACGTACTTAATGCTAATTTAAGATTTATATGGTTTTCTCATGGATACCATTATCAGAACTGGACTAAATCGAAATGGTGCCGCACGGGAAGCGTCAGCTTTCTAATAAAGAAAGAATCATCAAAATCGATTCACCCAGTCAAAAGTTATGATGACGTAACATAGAAAAAAAAACAACAACATACAGTCGAATTAAGAACCTCCTCCTTTTTGAAGTCGGCTAAAAATATAATCGCGCTTGTTTCTTTGAGTGAACAATCTAATATTCTTATCGACGCTTGAAAGGTAAACGTGACTAAGCGACAATAATTGCTTTATACATAAATGATAGGCAATAACCATATTCGATGCGCAAAAAATATTATATATTTCTAGGTCTATTTAAAATAATTTCAATCCTACAGCTAGATTCGTTAAAATATAATTTTTTTTTCAGGTATTTCAACTTTAAATTAGTCCACTGTAAAGTTCACGCATTGTCGCTTAGTCACGTTTGCCTTTCAAGCGTCGATATATATACGGCATACCTTATCTAAAAATGCATTGGGCTGATCGTAGCGAGATGTTGGAGTTTCAGGACTCGCAGCGACTCGCACAGGGTACAGTTTTGGATCTAGGAGAGGTCCCATTATCTGGAACAAAGTTTTAGGAAGTGAAATTGTAAAGCAAGCAAGCTACAATCAGACATGAAAAATGACACCATCTAACGTTTATTTTTTTTCTTCTCTGTATCAGCAAACGTGTGTACGTACGGGCCGTCATAAGTTGAGCATTTGGTCATCACTGTGAGTTTATGAGGTCAAAACATAAATGCCGCTACCCATTTCGAAATACGAGGTGGTCGTCTCCATTGTACTGTATAACGGCGGCAGAAATAGCTACCTACCCTACGAGGCTTACAAGGATCACAAGGGTCGCAAGCATATTTGCTTAATTTTTTCATTTTTATTGGGTAGATCTCGTCACAGCCTACCTGGTGTTCAGTGGTTACTGGAGCCCATTGACATCTACAACGTAAATGCCGCCACCTACCATGAGATATCAGTTCTAAGGTCTCATTATAGTTACAACGGCTGGCCCGCCCTTCAAATCGATACGCATTACTGTTTCACGGCAGAAATAGGCAGAGTGGTAGTAACTACCCGTGCGGACACACAAGAGATCCTAGCACCAGTAATTACGCAAATAATAATTTTGCTGGTTTGATTTTTATTACACGATGTTTTATTCCTTCACCGTGGAAGTCAATCGTGAACAAAAAACTATTCGAATAAAACTATTATTATTTACTAATTAATATTTAAAACTCCGCTCGTTGCTACTATATACCTATAAAACTTTGTTTTTTAACGAAAACACTCGCACTCAATGGAGTGTTACCTCATTTCGACTCCAGCCGCCCTCCTTCCCAGGCGGCAGTTGCGGCATCTCCCCTCCAGAGTATTGCGGGCATCGGCAGTCCGGCGGCCTTGAATGCTGCATACATGCTTGGTAGAACGCTAATTCTTGACCAGACAGTTTTGGTGTGCTGTGGAATATCGAAGCGCGATAATGAGGCGATTAGGGTCAACAACGACAGTCTTCTGTGCTATGAGTATCAGTACCTAACGCTCAATGTTCTTAGTGCGAGATTTTGAACGTTCTCGATAGAGTAAAAGTTAACTCATATTTGTATGCAGTTGGAACAGCGCCCCTAGCGGCAAACGTAGGCCGTTTGCCGCTAGGGGCAAATTTGAGTTAACTTTTACGCTATCGAGAACGTAAAAAAACTCGCACTAAGCACACAGATCCTGGATCCCATGTAATATTAGTAAAGATGAACCTTGCTTATTGCGAGTAGACGCGGCTTTACCTATAGTTCAGGGTGTGTGTTGCACACAGGCGCAGCAGTGCTAGAGGAGGCCAGCCTCGGCACTGTCAATGAACCTATTACATTTGTACCTATTCTCCCTGCCCTGGTGAAACCGGAAAGGACTCAGGGGCACCAGTAATCCTTCAATCATATAAAGAACCTATTCTATTTTGACCGCGCACTTACCAGAGGGCGCTAGGGTAATTGCAGATGATTGCACACAAACGCCACATCGGCTACTGGATGAAAAAAGATTTTATAAAATCGTACACACTTATATATGAATTGTCTCTTCTTCGATATAGCGAAGGCGTTCGACAAAGTCTGGCACAACGGTTTAATATACAACCTGGATAACATGGGATTGCCAGACAGACTCGTGCTCATCATACGAGACTACTTTTCAAACAGTTCGTTCCGATATCGAGTCGAGGGAACGCGCTCTCGCCCCTGTCACGTCACAGCCGGAGTCCCGCAAGGCTCCGCCCTCTCCCCGTTACTGTTCAGTTTGTATATCAATGATATACTCCGGTCTCCGGAGAGCCATCTGGCGCTCTTCGCCGATGACACGGCTATCTACTACTCGTGTAGGAAGAAGTCGTTGTTACATCGGCGACTCCAGACCGCAGCTACCACCATGGGACAGAGGTTCCGGAAGTGGCGCATCGACATTAACCCCATGAAAAGTACAGCGGTGCTCTTCAAAAGGGGTCGCCCTCCGAACACCACATTGAACATACCACTCCCGACTAGGCGCGTCAACACCTCCGCCGCCGCCATTCGCCCAATCACGATGTACGACCAACCTATACCGTAGGCCCCAAATATCAAATACTTAGGCGTCACCCTTGACAAAAGGATGACATTCCGCCCCCACATAAAGACGGTACGCGACCGTGCCGCCTTCATACTAGGACGCCTCTACCCGATGATATGCAGGCGAAGTAAAATGTCTCTTAGAAATAAGGTGACACTCTACAAAACTTGCATACCTACGCCCCGTCATGACCTATGCAAGTGTAGTGTTCGCTCATGCGGCCCGCACTAACTTAAAATTATTCCAAGTCATTCAATCCTTTTTTTGCAGGATAGCCGTCGGAGCTCCATGGTTCGTCAGGAACGTCGACCTCCATGACGACCTGGACTTAGAGTCCATCAGTAAGTATCTGCAGTCGGCGTCGATGCGACACTTCGATAATGCGGCACGACACGAGAACCCTCTCATCATGGCCGCCGGTAACTACATTCCCGATCCTGCGGACAGAATGGAAAGCAGTCGATGTCGTCCTAAACTCGTCATTTCGGATCCTCCCGATCCACTAACGGTGCTTTTAGGTACCTCAAGCACCGTTCAACGTTCTCGTCGAACCCGTGGCTTGCGACGAAGGGCTCGACGAGTAAATTAACCTTCAAACACAGCCCATTGAGTTTCTCGCCGGATCTTCTCAGTGGGTCGCGTTTCCGATCCGGTGGTAAATTCTGCGAAGCACGGCTCTTGCTAGGGTTCGTGTTAGCAACGTCGTCAGGTTTGAGCCCCGTGAGCTCACCTACTAGTTGAGGTTCCGCTGATATAGCCTCTCAAGGCTATCAGCTTAGGTAGGAAAAAAAAGAAGTTTAAATTGTATACAGTTGGTTAGAAGTTTTGCATAATTATTATATTATTGGACAAAATATTTACAATTATAATTCTATTTATGTAAAGCTATATAAAATCTTAATTGTCACTTGACATTTTTCAAAGATTTTTTACAAGTAAATAAACGATTATGAGTCGGCAATTTTAATAATGATAATATAGATAATATATACAATTGTTTAATAATTGTATAAATAGGTATATGAAATTTTTCAAAGATAATATTTGACTTTATTATTTATTATAAGAATGATATTACAGAATGAAGACACAACTACATACATAGATAGATATTTTAATGCGCCTGCGCTTTATTATATACGCAATACGCATGCTCCACTTTTTCAAAATGGCGTTTAATGTGAGGCTCGTAAAAAACGTCAATAACTTGATGATAATAAATAAATTTAAATAAATAATATTATTTTATGATCCAGTGAGCGCTTTTTTTTTATTTAAAAATTATCGAGAAAGTTAACACAAGCTTGTTGAAATGTTCTATTTCATTAAGTGTAGTAGTGTTTGTTAACTCGTTTTACTGTCGAGGATTAAGGTCGAGGTTATGTGTGGTTACGTTTAAGATGTTGGACAATGGAAATCCTGAAGTAAACAATTGCGTTTGTTTTTACTGGAATAATGAAAAGTACTTGGGAACTATTGTGAATATCCCAAGTAAGGCAATTTTAATGAATTTATGCTTTTTTATTTATTTTACCAAGCGGTGTGACTGATATTACATTCAATATCACAAAAATAGAAAAACCGGTGATCACATTTATGTGTAAACAAGTCACACTTCATTTTGTAATAGCTTTTATATAAAAGTTTTATGTAACATAATATGCTATGTCATAAAAATATGTTTCAGTATGCTAAATTGAAAAAGTTAGCCAAGAAATTTAACAAAAAGGAGGACACTGAAAAGGAGTCATCACTTCCTGAAAGAAGACTGCGAAAACCTTAATGCTCGTCATTTACTAAAAACGAAAATTCTGCTTCCCAAACATAAATCTAAGAGAAAAAGTAAAATTAATATATTATATTTATTACAATTTTTAAGTACACGATACTACTAATAATTAGGTTTTAGGTAATATATTGGATTCTGATGTACCAGTGAGTAATCTGAAGCAACAAGTCAAAAAATTTATCCATAAAACACAGAAGATTCAAGAAAAGATTCCAAGTCTCCGGCACTGAAATCTGATTATGAGAATAAATTCAAATAAAGAGGAATTGAAAATGATAATTTTAGAGCAAGCAAAGCTTCAAAATTCTGATAAAAGTTAGTTATGTATGATTTTAATTATTGGTTTATGATAGCTTTAAGTATATATATACGTTCATAACATTGGTAGTTAAATATTTACTTAGATGAAATTTTAATATTTTGATTTTTTTCTATTTGGGTAAAGATTCCAAAATAAAACAAAAAAAAGGAATTAGCTATTATAGGTTAATAGTAGAATGTTTTTTAATTAGATATTTCATCTTAGATTAGTGTTATTTAATTATAATGATTTTTAATCGATTTTTCAATTAAAATATAGTGGTGTAACTAACTATATTTTAATTCAAGAAAGTGTTGTGTGTCACTTATTAAACTTACACTTAATTTACTTACTAACACCTTAATTTGTGTTACAGAATTGTGTGAAAATTATGCTTTCTAAAGTAGGATGGCCGAAAGTAAACCCCCTGAAAAGTGCAATGAGCTATGTCCCAGTTGATCGGAGAGAAGAGACAGATCAATAAAAATATTGATAAAAGTTCTTGATATTATCAATATTAAAGATCGTTATTCATTCATAATTATTGCTATTGTTTTACTTTTTATTTTTCAGTCTGTAACATTGTTCAGTAATGTAATTTGATTTTATTTTTATTTTTCATTAATTGCCAATGCCAACTAAGATCAAATTAATATTTGATCTTAGTTGGCATACCGCTTAGCAAAATGAGAAGTTTTATATGCAAAAGTATTATATATTTAATTCAATAATTACCAAGTCTAATATATACTAATTTTAATGTTAGGTTAAATGTTAATAATAAGAGTGGTTTTGTATTTGGGGTGCAAAAATAATCTAAATATGTGATACTAGAATTAAAGTAAAAGAATATATATTGTATTTTTGTTGTTGTTTATTAAACAAATAAAATCATGTCATATAATATTAAATATTCTTTTTGTAGTTTTCTGGTACATATTTTAATTGCAGAAAATTTTAATTTTTATGAAACAAAATTCTTATATACAATTGATTACATTTATATATAAATTATATACAACTGTAAAAGATTATAACTATTTGTATTCAAGTGTATAAAACAATAGTGCCATCTAATTTTATATTAAATATATACTTAGTTCAGTCTGTATATAATTGCATATAGATGTCTAGTTTCATATAATCGTAAAATCAATTAACCCATTATTACTATCTAATTGTATCATTTATAATAAACTCATATATTTTAATAAAATTAATACCTATAATATTTTTTATCAGGTAGAGACGCCTTTGATTACGCAAACAGTTTGGTAACCATAGGTCGTACTTAGGCTACTATTGTAGGTTGTTGCAATATTACTTTGTTGTTATTTCAAAATTACGGGCAAAGTAGGCTCACGACCCCATCCAGACATAATGTGGAAGTCTCAGTTCTATCATCGGCTGACGTATCCTTCGAAGAGGACCACAAGAATGCGGCAGATACGTGGTGCTGCAGTAGGGAATGAGTTTTCAGAAATAAATCGGTGCATACTCAGCTAAGCCCGCGGTTTCGCCGCCACCACCGACATGAGGTAAGTTCGGCCACAGATAATCTTTTCTGTAGGTAGTAAGATAATGATCCATCTTGTTTTGTTTTGTTTGTCCGTTTACACTAAAATTTTGAGTCGTCCATTTTCGTTTTTACAATAAAAAAAATACCCAAAATGTATTAATACTTTAAACCGGATGATTTTGTAAAAATTGTCAAAAATGACATAATTAGTCACAATAGTTTGTCGGCAGTTTTTAATGTAAATATTTCCAAATTTTAATCTATGGTCGGAAAGTTAAAATGCACGCTGAGTGACTGATAAAACTTTAAAATTCTTCAGTAAAAGTAATGACAGTAATTTGTCGTTTGCGTTACTCAGAAGAAATATTAAGTGTATTATCTATGGTCAAAAAGTTGATGTGCAGTTCCGGCGACAACGACACCTTACATCCGATCTTATTTTAGATAATGAATAAATAAATAAAACTGACCATACGCAAGAGTTATGGGAATTAATTGCGATTTCATTGACTGCCCTTGATTCTTCACCGCCATTAACAAAGAACCTTAGAATCATAAATAACCAAGAGCACCTATACATTAAGTCTTCACTACACAGTATAAAACAAAGTCGCTTTCTCTGTCCCTATATCCCTATGTATGCTTCAATCTTTAAAACTACGCAACGGATTTTGATGCGGCTTTTTTTAATAGATAGTGATTGAAGAGCGTTCCGATATCGAGTCGAGGGAACGCGTTCCCGGCCCCGTCACGTCACAGCCGGAGTCCCGCAAGGCTCCGCCCTCTCCCCGTTACTATTCAGTTTGTATATCAATGATATACCCCGGTCTCCGGAGACCCATCTGGCGCTCTTCGCCGATGACACCGCCATCTACTACTCGTGTAGGAAGAAGGCGTTGCTTCATCGACGACTTCAGACCGCAGCTACCACCATGGGACAGTGGTTCCGGAAGTGGCGCATCGACATTAACCCCACGAAAAGCACAGCGGTGCTCTTCAAAAGGGGTCGCCCTCCGAACACCACGCTGAGCATCCCTCTCCCGACTAGGCGCGTCAACACCCCCGCCCCCGCCGTTCGCCCAATCACGATGTTCGACCAGCCCATACCGTGGGCCCCGAAGGTCAAATATTTAGGCGTCACCCTCGACAGTAGGATGACATTCCGCCCCCACATCAAGACGGTACGCGACCGTGCCGCCTTCATTCTAGGACGTCTCTACCCGATGATATGTAGGCGAAGTAAAATGTCCCTTAGAAATAAGGTGACACTCTACAAAACTTGCATACGCCCCGTCATGACCTATGCAAGTGTAGTGTTCGCTCACGCGGCCCGCATACACTTAAAATCCTTTCAAATTATTCAATCCCGTTTTTGCAGGATAGCCGTCGGAGCCCCGTGGTTCGTCAGGAACGTCGACCTCCATGACGACCTGGACTTAGAGTCCATCAGTAAGTATATTCAGTCGGCGTCCATGCGCCACTTCGATAAAGCGGCACGACACGAGAACCCTCTCATCGTGGCCGCCGGTAACTACATTCCCGATCCTGCGGACAGAATGGAAAGCAGTCGACGTCGCCCAAAACACGTCATCTCGGATCCTCCCGATCCACTAACGGTGCTTTTAGGTACTTCAAGCACCGGTCACCGTTCTCGTCGAACCCGTCGCTTGCGACGAAGGGCTCGACGAGTAAATTAACTCTCAGACACAGCCCACTGAGTTTCTCGCCGGATCTTCTCAGTGGGTCGCGTTTCCGATCCGGTGGTAGATTCTGCGAAGCACGGCTCTTGCTAGGGTTCGTGTTAGCAACGTCATCAGGTTTGCCCCGTGAGCTCACCTACAAAAGTTAGGGTTACGCTGACATAGCCTCTCAAGGCTCTCAGCATAGGTAGGAACAAAGAAAAAAAAAATGTTATCGGTAGAGTAACGCATTGATGCGTAGTATATTCGAACGATATCCAAGGATCTGTATGCACTAGACGCGTCGAGAAGTACAACACGGAACTTACTACTAGAGATCGCTGTGGATATTCCGGTAATTTCTCAGGGATGAATAGGTATCGGCCTATAAAAGCGTTGTAGAGATGCACGCTAAGTCGTCAGTGATCGGAAGCTACTTCGCAAGCCGCGAAACAAGCGAAACGCGACACCCTGAACGAATCGGAGAAGCGAATGAGAGTTTAATGTGTTTGTGGAAATGTTTAGTGTTGTATACAGTTTTTGTTGTACTTCTGTGAACATTTATTTTATCCCGAGCTCCAGGCGTAAAGATATTATCTTTAAGGATAATTATAAATACGACTTATCCTGATAATTATAGAGACGTGTATTATATACCATAATAAGGTAAGCGGAACTATGACATATATACAAGATACGGGTCTTTTGCTTCCACATAACAAAACATATGTCGACAGTGGAATTGATGCGCGATGTTTTATAAATGCTTGCTAAGCTTTTAGGGATTCTATGAGGGTTACTTAATTTTGGTAGGCAAGCGGGCTGGCGTCTGCCCCTGGCATGCTGAAGCTCCATGGGCGCGGTTAAACACTCACATCAGGTGGGCCGTGGATGCTCTCTCATTCTGCCTTACATGGCAATAAAAAAAATAAATTGACTTCACTGGTACAGGGTCGCATGAAAAATTAAAATTAGAAAAAAAAACCTCAGTGAAAATAAGTTTGTTTATACTGAAAGGCCGTAATTCATTTCGGCGTTAGACAGAAAGCGCATTTAAATTTAAATGGAAATCAAAATTCAACAATACTGAAGTTTGTGTATTTTCGGGATTAATTCCTCCATTACTGAACGTTACGATAGATTCAAATGAAATTCTCAATATAAATTATTTATTGTACACGAATTTCAAACGAAAAATGTG